CTTGATGCCTGCGGCGGCCATGTACTCAGAGCAGTAGCCCGCGGCGCTGTCCGGCAGGGGGCCCAGGATGCGGGGCAGGAAGTCGATGATGGCCAGCTTGAGCTGCGGGCAGGGGGCAGCTTTCCGGTGCACTTGGCAGGCTCTGGAGAGAAGATGGCTCTGAGAGCCACTGTGTCAGCTGCCATGCCATTCGACCTCCTCGTCCTCCGACCTCACCCTCCACCGCCCCCTCGGGATCGACGAGGAACTTCTCGAGGCCGCCTGTATCGCCCCAAGCGACCTTCTGTGGCCTTCGAGCTCACCTGCGTGGGCGGGGCATCACGTCCGAGCTGTAGCCCCAGGGGGCGTGGGAGGAACGACGGCTCCTGCTCCTCCCCCTGCCCTGCGGCCCGTCCTCCTCGACAGATCGATCCATCTGGCCACTGGCCAGGCCAGGCGGGGGGATGAGAAGCACGATCGACCCACGAAGCCGGCAAGGGATATAGAAATGTGAAACATGGAAATTGCTCAAGACACCAAATTGGGGCGACGGGCAGTTGCAATGCTCAAGGTAGCGATGGTGATGTACAGTGCCAGGGGCTGTGTTTGATTGTGCTGTGCTGAACTGAGACGAGTCATGCCGCGTCGTGGTGATGTGCTTCATTGCTGTGCGCGATGAGATCGTCAGTGGCGTCCGAATCCCGATCGAACTGATCTGCATCGTGAGCTCGAGCTGCCTGAACGCATAACTCAGATCTGGCCGCTCGAAACGCGCGGGGCGCTCGACCAGCTCGAGCTCAAGATTCAACTCAGTTCGGGAGCTGGACGCTTCGAAAGGGGGCGAATCCGAACAATTCTGTGCTGTGTTGCGTCGTGGATCAAATTGTCCCTGGCATCCGAATCCTGGCAGAACTGAGCTGGGCCTCAAGCTCGAGCTGCCTGGGCGCACTGCTCACCCATAGCTGATTGCAATCGAGACCTTATGAAAGGATTATGTTCCACAACAGGGCGAAATGATAAGTGCGAGTCCAAACCGAGGCGGAATGCATCGAGAAGGGGCGGGCCGAAACGTCGACGGCGACAACGACGGCGGACGGCAACACCGCGACCGCGGTTCCAGCTCGGAACCACTATGTTAGATATCCACGTGGGTGGCCTGGACACGTACAAACACGTGGTTCCAGCTCGGGACCACAATGTTAGATACCCAAGTGGGAAATCTTGATCTTGATAATCACCAGCCGAAGAACTGTGTCAAGTTATTACCTATCTGGTGTCGCAGTATTGATTTGGTTTGTCTAGTTTCGCCTCCCTCCCCCACGCTGGGGGCTCCCAGACAGCCACATGTTGGATATCCCCCCCGTGGGTAGCCCGCACATGTAAAATAAAATGGTGCTAGCTCGGGGCAGCCATGTTCGATACCCCTCTGGATGGCCTGGACAATTTGAAACACGTCGTTCCAGCTCGGGGCCACCATGTTAGGTACCCCATTGGGTGGCCCGCGCACGTACAAACGCATGGTTCAAGTTCGGGCCACCATCATAGATACCCCCATGGGTGGGCTGGACACGCAAAAACATGTGATTCCATCTGGAGACAACCATATTAGATACCCCCGTGGGCGACCTGGGCATATGAAAACAAGCATTTCGTCTGAGACATGCTCAGAATTCTGGCCTCCAGGAGGGGAGCAATAGATAGGACAACACAACCGTTTCGCTCAAGACATCCTCAACCAATCCTGGTAAACAAGCGTTTCGCTGGAGGCATCCGCAACAAACGAAACTGTTCACTTGACCGTCTGTTTTATCGATCGGAATATTAAAAAGACAGCGTTTCGCTCGAGACATCCTCAACATCTAATCCGCCGGCCCCACGCGACCTTCTGATGCATCGGATATGGATTCGCCGGCCGTGCACGAACTTGGCACCAGGGACCAGCATACTAACAAAAAAAGCCTGACGAAGGACCCAACCATATGCAACTGCGGGTACCGCGAAGGAGATGAGACGAAGGAGGGGGGCGCGCAAACTCCGACTAGTCTTCGTAGGCAGCGCGCCGCAGCAAGAACGAAGCGCGGGGCAATGCGGGCAGGGGGCCTTCGGTGGAGCTCCCTATGTGGCCACGAACCGTGTGAGGCGTGCGCCGTAATGTGTGGCGGGGACGCATGTGAACAGTGCCACTGGGGCCTTCGGTGGAGCTCCCTATTGGGACACGAACCGCGTGAGGGGTGTACCGTAATCGGTGGCGGGGACGCATGTAAACTGTACCACTGGGGCCATCGGCGGAGCTTCTTATCGGGACGCGAAACGTGTGAGACGTGTGCCGACATGTGTGGCGGGGACGCATGTGGACTGTGCCATTGGGGCCTTCGGTGAAGCTCCCTATGGGGCCACGAACCGCGAGAGGAGTGTGCCGTAATGGGTGGCGGGGCCTTCGGTGGAGCTCCCTGTGGAACCACGAACCGTGTGAGGGGTGTGCCGAAATGGGTGGCGGGGACGCGTGTAAACTTTGCCAGTGGCGCATTCGGTGGAGCTTCTTATGGAGCCACGAACCGTGTAAGGGGTGTGCCGGCATGCGTGGCGGGGACGCATGGGAACTGTGCCACTGGGACCTCCGGTGGAGCTCCCTATAGGGACACGAACCGCACATGAAGGGTGTACCGTGATCGGTGGCGAAGACGCACGTGAACTGTGCCACGGGGGCCTTCGGTGGAACTCCGTATGGGGCCACGAACCGCTTGAGGGGTGAGCCGACATGGGCGGCGGGAAATTATATAAACTGTGCCCCTGGACCTTCGGTGGAGGTCCATGTGGGGCCACGAACCGTGTGAGGGATGTGCCGACATGGGAGGAGGGAGGAAGGGGAAAAAGGAGGCGGGAGGTAACGCGGGGCGCCGCCTCTTCAAAACAGGGACCCAAGACCAAAGGATAGTTGGGACAAAAACACCCATGGGTCCATGCCCTTTCCGGGACAAGGCGGCTAAGCAACAAATGAGCTGCATGCACCTCTGCTTCCTGACGCCCGAAGCGCCGTTTGCGTCGAGGAAGGCGCCAGGCGGCGGGGCCAACACCAGCTGCGTGCTGCAGTTTTCGGACCCCTCTTTTCCCAACCTGCCCTGTGTTGTGCGACCCCATCCACGCCAAACGCCACGAAGCCTCTGCTCGAGGGGCAACGATATAAGGGGGGACTGACGTAGTGGGGGACACATCGACCTGAAGTCGGCGACGCATCGCCAGTAGATCGGCGATCGACCCCCGATCGTGAACCCGCACATTCCTGGGCAGGTTGGGGGTATCTGACCCCTATCGGCGATCAATGAGCAAGTGGGGATGGCCCGACCACAAGAGCAGAACCAGCTGAAACTTCCGCGGGCGGGAGGCGACGCGCCTCCCGCCGGCCAGGCCAGACACCAGGCCGAGCGAGCGTCCGCGCGGCCACCGAACCAAGCGCACCATCCGCCTGAATGGAGCTGCAGGGCAACCCCGGGGAAACAACAAGTGACCGCAGGCTGGACTGGAGAGAACGGAGGAGGAGAGGATAAGCAACAAAAACCAACCGGCCAAACCAGGCCGAAAGCCTCCACCCGCCAACGACACCCCGAACACCACCCAATCAAAATTCGCCAGGTCACGACCTCACTGGCAGGGGTGGCCACTCACCGACGAAGCCATCCACGGCAACCCGCGTGGCACACGAGCGCTACCCGTTCCACAATGACGCACGCAGGGATGGCCTCTGGGCACGATGCGAAGGCACGCGCCAAGATCCGAAACTCCCCGCGGCGCCCGGGGGGGTTACGCGTCGACCTGCGCGTCCGACCGCAATCGGGTCTGCGATTCAGTCGCAATCGGACTTGCGTTAGGTCGGGCACGTCCTCCTGCAGGCGGGCTTTGGAATAGTTTCCGAGGAGCCCCACATTATTATAATATGTATGGCGCGATGGTAGCTGCAGTGAAATGTGTGATGATGATGATGCTGATGATGATGATGATGATAATGATAATGATGATGATGATGCTGATGATGATGGTCGTGGCTTCGCCGATACCGGCGCTGTGCACCAAGATGTCCCCTGGCCTGACAACATCACCGCGCAAACCATCCAGGTTCACCTCGGCCCATCTCTAGCACTGACGTCTTGAGCTGCTCGCACGGCGGTGGCAGCGCAGACATGGCGCATTTGGGCGCCATGACGGGGACCGTGCCTTTGACGGAGAATCACGGGTGGTCGTCCGCGTTCACGTATCGAGCAGTCTGAGCCTGCATGAGCAAGGGTGGTTACAGGTCTGGATGATGATGATGATAATGATGATAATGATGATAATGATGATATGATGATATGATGATGATGATGATGATGATGATGATGATGATGATGATGATGATGATGGTGATGATAGCGCCCCCTTGTTTGCGTGCCCCTGCGGCCTCGAGAAAATGCCACGCGTGCTAGGACCTGGGACACCACACCCCCTGCGCACCCTCTATGGTGTCGAGAAAGTGCTACGCCTGCTATGCCCTGCGCGACCGGCGTGCGTAGCGGCCGCACTAGGAGACCACCCCCTGAGCACCCCCTATGATGTTGAGAAAGTGCCACGCCTGCTATGCCGTGAACGGCCGGCGTGCATAGTGGCCGCGTTCAGAGACCATCTTCTGCGCACCCTTTATGGTGTCGAGAAAAGGACACGCCTGCTATGCCCTGGACGACCGGCGCGCATAGCGGCCGCGCTCAGGTACCACCCCCTGCACACCCCTAAAGTGTCGAACAAGTGCCACGCCTGCCATGTCCTGCGCGACAAGCGTGCCTAGCGGCCGCACTCAGAGACCACCTCCTGCGCACCCCCATGGTGTCGAGAAAGTGCCACGCCTGCCATGCCCTGCACGACAGGCGTGCATAGCGGCCGCGCTCAGAGACCACCCCCTGCGCACCTCCTCTGGCGTCGAGAAAGTACCAAGCCTCCCATGCCCTGCACGACTGGCGTGCGTAGCGGCCGCGCTCACACACACACACACACACCTGCGCACCCCCATGGTGTCGAGAAGGCGCCACGCCTGCTATGCCGTGGACGGCCGGCGTGCATAGCGGCCGCGCTCAGAGACCACCCCCTGCGCACCCCCT